CACGGCGCTAGAGCGATTCCGACGACTAGAAGCGAAGGCAAGGGTGGCGACGGGTAGAGGAGACACCGGGGGTCCTTTTAAAGGGGCTCGGAGGCGGCGGCGAAGGCCCACGACGGCGGCAACGGCGAAGGAAACTCGCGGCTTGAAGGAAAGAGGTCGATCCGAATCGAACTCGATTCCACGAACTTCCAAAACGATTTAGCCAAAGATTCCAAAGGAGAAAAGGTAGAGGAGATCCCGGAGATTGTTTCCCCTCAAACAATTCGGCCGGAGAAGGAAAGGAACGGCCGGATTTGGAAAGGAACGGCGGCGGCGCGAAACTAGGGTTTCGGGCGGCGGCGGCCGAAGGTAGACGATGGGTCCGACAGGTGGGCCCCACCTGTCAGCGAGCGAGGGCGCGCGCGCGGGCGGCTGCGGACTGGGCCGAACTGGGCCGAGGAGAGAGAGAGGGGTTTTGGGCCGACTTTCGGCCCAAAGCCAAAAGAGACTTTTTAAAACCTTTTTCAATTTAAATTATTTCTTAAATGCAATTCCATTTATTAAAAATACTTCCTTAGCTCAAATAAATCCCAGAAAAATCTAGGAATTATAGAATTAAGCAAAGTATTTAATGAAATTTTATCTGGCCCCATTTTATATTGGAATTTATTAATTAAAACAAGATCTTCTCTTCAAGACTTTTAAAATTATTTCTAGAAATTCCATTTAAACAACAATTTATAAATTTTAAAATTTTCAGGGTGTGACAGATTGGCTTTGGCCATTTGGTGGCAGCAAGGAGCTAGCTTACATTTTTGACATTTCAAGCTAGACATATATATATATATATATATATATATATATATATATATAAGCAATACTAGAAAGTCTTACATTATGAAACGGAGGGAGTATAAAAACTTTATAAGTGATTGCATAAATGCAACAACTTGTAAGATATGCACGATTTTGATACAATAAGTTAAGAAGTTATGCAACAACTTATTTATTTGGAGCACTTTTTTATACATATTTATTTTTTAAGTACTTATTTTGACAATATACTAACGTGGATTTGTATATAAGCATATTTATATTTTTATTATAATAACTAATAACTAAAAGTCAATTAAACTGGATGTAAAAATTATTATATTTCGGTTGAGATTTGGGAAGGTGAAGAAAACAAAAAATCTTTAAAGTTAATTGGATGTAAATTGGATATGTAGTATAATTCTTAAAGATTAAATTCAATATTATAAGGTAATATCGGTAGGATTACTATATAATGGCATACTTATATATGCTTAGCTAAGTTGATGCACCAAAATACTAAATTGTCAAGTTCTTGTACTAGAACGCACCCACTTGTCAAGTTGTCGTACTTGAATGTTCAATTCTCAAGTTCTTGCACGATATCGCATCGACCCGCCAAATTTATGTATTGTGGGTGCAATTTACTCTTAAAAGTTTATATACCCGATTCAAATTTAAATTTGGATTTAAATATTTTATATATAGAATATTTCTATACATAAAGTTTATGCGTGCATTATTTTCCTCTTTTAGTAAGTTTATACACCTAAAGTTTACACATCTAATGTTTATCCACCTAAATTTTGTAGAGCAAATGTTTATAAGTCAAAAGTTTATATATTCGATTCAAATTCAAATTCAAATTCAAATATTATATATATATATAGAATATTTCTATACATAAAGTTTATGCGTGCAAAGTTTATGATATAAAGTCTATGCACATGAATGAAAGTATTAGATTTTTTTCTATTTTTTACTAACTTTGTTTTTTTTTTGAAATTTATGATGAAAGGAGAGAAGGGAGAAGAGTATGGGGGGAGGGCGGGTTGATCGCTGGGAACGATCACCCGCCCATTAGGGGCACCCGTATCTAGATATCTAATTACATGTGTTAATTAAGAACTTTCTTTGGGAAAAAAAACATCTTAGACCCCATGTCCCATGCACAAGGGTGGAACAATGTGGTGTTGTCCATATGTAAACTAAATAAGTAGATAAATTAGATAAAATATGATCTATACGACTACCATAAGATGATGGGTGAGTAGAGGATACCACTGAGGAATCAATGGACCGAGAATAATGGCAAATAGTTCACACACACACACACACACACACATATATATATATATGATTGAGTGACGACATGACGTGTCAGTTATTCAAGGAGTTTTTTTAATTATGAATAATGACAGAGACACCGTTAAGAAGGAGATTATGTACTTATTTGAATTTAAAAAATCAAATTAGACAAACCAAAAATTGTAAGCAGTTTTTATAAATTTTTACAAATTCTGGTGTTGTAAATCATATTGAACTTGTGGAACAAAACTATATTCTTGATATAACCAGACTACATGATAGAAATAAACTTTACTACAAAACACTTCAAAATTTGTAAGTAAACTACCCATACTAATTAAATTTATATACTTATGGTCTTATTTTAAACAAATATTTTTTCAATGAAAACAACCATGAGAAAACAAAAGAAATTAGCTTCAAACAATGTTGATATTTTACACTACCAAGCAAAGTGATTTGTGTAGATGATTTGTGTGCACCAAAACTCTTTAAAGTTCTTCAGAACTATAAAGAAAATATGAAGTTCTTGAACTTATATACAGGAGAAACAAAATCCAACTTTTAATTTACCCTAAATTTGTTTGTCATATGCCTTCAAGGCATTCAATCACAAGAATTTTGACTTTCTTGATCTTGCAATTTTTGCTTGTAGCTATATTAGCATGGTATGTGTACAAATGATATGCTTGATAATTAGCTAGCGATAGTTTAATATTTACCCAATGCAAAAGTCGTATGAGCTTAATCCATCTTTTATTCAAGAGTCGATGAATATTTTTTTTATATATGTTTTAAAAAAGGACCCCTGAATTATTTTTAAAGGGCATTGTTCAATTTATAGTTTGCTATTTATGAGACAATTTCTGAATAAAGTATAATCTTACCTTTCAACGATATAAATGCCCGCGCGTCGCATACGCGCAGGCTACTTTCCTAGTTAGTAATATAATAAGTCATCAGTAATAAAAGACCAACAAATTCAAACTGAATGTTGTTTTATACATAATGTGTCACTAGAACGGATACCCTCATCTCAATCGGGCGGTAAGCCCCATCTCAATCGGGCATGGCGTCCGTCATAGGCTAGAAGTCACTGATGTGAAGAGTTATCTCAATCGGGCAAACGGCCGTCACGGATGATTCTATCTCAATCGGGCCCTAAGTAAAGCCCGTCACCGATAGCTTTGACCCAGACGACCAGTCAAACTATAGCCCGTCACAGATGACCTATCTCAATCAGGCTACAACTAGCGCCCGTCACAGATGACCCTTATCTGTGACGGGCATTAACTATAGCATAAGTTAATGTCGGGCATTAACTATAGCATAAGTTAATGCCCGTCACAGATGAGTATAATCCAAAAATAAATAAATTTTATTTTTTGGCTAGCCCTCACTCGTGTGCACCCCACACGGGAAGTTCAAACTTCCCGGTTGGATGCCCGTCACAGATGAGTCATCTGTGACGGGCATTAACTATAGCATAAGTTACATCCCGAAATTGCTCTAGACCAAGCATACTTAACGTCAAAGTTCTTTGGAGATTGGCTTCCAGAAAAGTAGTTGTAACATGTTGGTACGAGTATTCTATTAATCCTATTATGCCCTAGGCCAGGATGTCAAATTAGAGTTATTAAATGATTTTAAATGGAAAAGTCACCAAAACCAAAGTTGTAGAACTCATCGAGGCGCAAAATTTTTATTTTGGTCATTTCTCCATCTGACTCTATTGAAACAATTTGAAATTTAAAATTCAAACTTTGAAAAGTTCAAATAGAATTTTAGATCAGTGAACGACTTCAATTGAAAAAGTTATCAACAACAAAGTTGTATAACTCATCAAAATCTATAACTTTTATTTTGGTCATTTTTCTATATAATATTTTTTGAACCGTTTGAATTTGAATTTAAAAATATGACAACTTCAAATAACATTTTCAAATACTAAATGATATCAACTGAAAAAGTCATCAACAACAAAGTTGAATAACTCATCAAGATCTAAAACTTTTATTTTGTTTATTTCTTCATACGACAAAGTGATAGTAACATTGTTTACAAAATTGACATATCTCTTATCTGGTTTTATAAACTATAACACATATATGTAAAATTTGTGAATAATATTACTAACATTTCGTCGGATGAAGAAATAACAAAAATAAAAGTTTTAGATCTTGATGAGTTATTCAACTTTGTTGTTGATGACTTTTTCAATTGAAATCATTTAGTATTTGAAAATGTTGTTTGAAGTTGTCATATTTTTAAATTCAAATTCAAACTGTTCAAAAAAATGTTATATTGAAAAATGACCAAACTAAAAGTTGTAAATATTGATAAGTTATACAACTTTGTTGTTGACATTTTTTCTATTTGAAATCATTTACTACCCGTAAAATTATTTTGACTCATAAAATGAATTATTATACTGCACTAAATTATTTTGCTATAGTCAACTTACAAATATAAACATTTCATATGAAAAATGGAAAAATAGTCATCGGTGATGGACTTTAGTTAATGCTCGATAGAGATTAAGTATATAGACCGTCACTGATAAGTCATATGTGACGGGCCTAGTTGTTATCTCAAACGGGCCTCAAGTTGGTGCACGTCACAGATGATGGTCATTTGTGACGGGCCACAACTTGAGGCCCGTTTGAGATATGGAATGCTATCTCAATCGGGCCTAAAGTTGTGGCCCGTTACTAATAGGTGTCATCCGTGATGGGCTTAAGTTTTATACCCATCCAACATGTCCGTGCGACCATATCTCAATCGGGCACTTTTCGGCCCGATTGAGATGACTTCCTTGTGACGGCCCGCTATTTCTAAGCATATTAGAGCCCGTCACAGATAGAAGGATCTGTATTAGTGTGTGTACGCACGGTCCCCAATTCAATACATATAGAATTGTTTTTTGAACGAAAGTACGTATAGAATTCATCCATAGGAGTAGGCATGCATATGCTGATATGCCAGGTTTACAGATAGATCACTTGACAATTACCGTGCATATGCCATCTATACAATAGTTAATTTGCAGCAATGAGACGTCGCCCTGGCTGTATTTACTCTGTAAATTCTTTGATCTCAAATTAATCATATGTATAATTTAGGTATGATGTGTGATCAGTTGTTCTTGTCGTCGACCGCCGACGACGACCCGTCGGCGCCGGGGGGACACGGCGGCTTCGGGAATGGTATAGGCCACCAGGGCTGTGGCGGCCCTGGCTTCGGCTTCGGCCCGGGCTTCGGCGGCTTCGGCTTCGGCTTCGGCCCTGGCTTTGGAGGCTTCGGCTTCGGCTTCGGCCCTGGCTTGGGAGGCTTCGGCTTCGGCCCAGGCTTGGGAGGCTTAGGCTTCGGTCCAGGCTTGGGTTTTGGTGGGCTCGGCTTGGGCTTGGGCTTGGGCCCAGGCTTCGGGCCGTGGTGGAAGCATTTATCGCCGCACTTCTTGTAGCACTGCACCTTCGCGGAGCTATCTGCAGATGCACACAAGAAAAAGCAGCACATGATGAACAGATTTAAACTTAATTACTACAGAGCTATATATATATATATATATATATATATATATATATATATATATATATATATATGTGTGTGTGTGTGTGTGTGTGTGTGTGTGTGTGTGTGTGTGTGTGTGTGTGTGTGTGTGTGTGTGTGTGTGTGTGTGTGTGTGTGTGTGTGTGTGTGTGTGTGTGTGTGTGATTAAGGCTTGAATTATCGTTGCGAAGTGTTAGTTTATTACGTACATGGTGGCAGCTTCGCGCACCAGTCGTCGACGCACTTGTGGTAGCAAACGGCCGGCACGTCCTTGAAGCAGTTGCCGAGGCACTGCTTCTTGCACTTGTAGTCATCGTCGAGCCCGACGGCGGCGGCGCCGGCGGTGGCGTTGGCCTTGGCATTGGCCTTGTCGTCGTCGTCGTCGTCGTGGCGGTGACAGCACTTGCTCATGCAGGAGGAGTAGCACTTCCAGTCCGTGTGGCCGTCGTCGACGTCCGCCGCTGCAGCCTCGCCGGAGCTTGATGAGCTCAGGCTGCCGTCAGGAGGCCAGGACTAATCGACACAAGAATTCAGATACAATTAATCAGTAAATTTGGTCTTAATGTGGACAACCAATTAATTTGTCGGGGTGTCGGTACGTACCTTGGCACCAAGGTAGCCTCGGCCATGCGCGCTCGCCGCGGCGAAGAGCGGCGCCGCCGCCACGGCGAGGAGGAGGACGGCGACCGCCGCCGCTCTGGAGGCCATCGCCGCAGCTAGCTAGCTGCTCGCTCGGTGAGGTGTGAACGGGTTGGCTTTGCTTCGGTGAGGAGAGCGCGGTATATATAGCCGCGCGCATTAGCGCTTGCATTGCACGCGCGCCGCGCCGGCGGCGAGGAGGAGGGGGTCACGCGTTCCGGGTGCGCGCGAGGGCGTGGGCGATGGCGAGGGCTCCGGGATTCGACGCCGTGCACGGAATGTTCGAAAACTGAATTCGTTTCGAGCGATCGGAGAGACAGAGAGGTGCAGCTGGGCATGCAGCTTGCGAATTCACGCTTTTGTTCGCGTCGCGGCGTCGCGCGGGGAACAGATTCGCGTGCGTCGCTCGCGCGGGTAATCGATCTCTCTTCGTGTCAGCTGATCAGTTCGAATCGATTAAATCCAGTTTGTTTTGATCTGTCATGATGAGAGAACACTTACACAAGAAAGCACCAAGCAGCCCATACAGAATCATTAAACATTTTCGTTTATGGTATTCGGTCTGACAGAAGTAGCTAGGGATCAAGGCAGTAATCCGTGTTCAAGTGACAGTAACTGGGCACTTAATTAGTTTTCCACCGTGTTGATTAATCCATGTCAGTACTTAGTAGATCAGCCGCATGGTAATTTGTATGGCAGATAATCAGCGAGAAACAAACGTCATAGTTGACTCAAGACAAGACTGTTAATTCGATTCGATCGAACGGCGGTATGTATATATACCTTGCGTAATTAATTGCGTTATTACAAATTGGAGCACAACTCCGACAATAATTTAGCCATCTCAAGAGTATTATTATACATGGATTTGTGTTAATATGTTGTGCATGGATTTGTGTTTTAACATCATATCGAGAATTAATTCGAGATGTTCGTCATGCTTAAGGCAATCCTGTTTGTCGCGGTCGAAATATTGAATCACACTGCCGCCGTAAGGCTGGTCGGCCGGCGGCGGCACCCGGCGGCGGCGTAGCTCTTGCCGCACGTGTCGCGGCACACGGCCATCATCTTGCTGCCCGGGTCGATCTGGCCGCACATGGACAGCGCGCACGCGTGCTCGCAGTCGCCGGTGCCGGAGAAGCGGCCGGCGGCGATGGCGATGGCGATGGCGCCGGCGCCGCACCGGCGGTAGCAGGAGAACTGGCAGAACCAGTACTCCTCGCGCTGCACGCACTGGTCGAAGCACGCGTGGAAGCAGGGCGGCATGATGCTGCTGCTGCTACCCACCGCCGCCGCTAATTCGTCACCGCCGGCGGCCGCGACCAGCAACGCCAGTACAGCCGCCGCCGCCGCCGCCGATCCGGCTCCGGCTCCGGCGATGATCTCCCTTGTCACAGGCATGGAGGCAGCTAGCTTAGCGAGGACTGAGGATGATACGGCTGCGCCATGGATGGACGAAGCTATGAAAGAAAAGCGGAGGCGAGGCGGGGCGTGCGCGCGTGTAGCCGTGTAGGTCATGGTTTCGGTGTGACGCTGACCGCAGCACGCTTCTCTGATCCGGTTGGTCTCACGGCCCACGACAATACATTGGGGTGTAGTGGGCCGAACGGCCCAAAAAGGGGCCTGGTAACGGTAGTAGAACTGCGAATAAGTCCACTTGCCAATCCCTCAACTTTACGACGAGTTTAATTTACGTCCCTGAAATCGCAATACCAAAAATCTCCACCCCTTATCTTTGCAAAACTACTCAAGTTTGTCTAAGGCAATATGATGTGCCAAGTTAAGTTAAGTATTGTCTGATGTGACATCCTAGTTAGCAAAAAGAAAAAAGAAAACATATAGAGCCCACGCGTAAGTAGACTTCCACCTCTCCCCACCTATCCCCTTTCTTGCCCATCTCTCCATCTCTCCCCTCTTTTCCCTAGCAGCTTGCCGGCATGGAGAAGATCGCAAGGGGGCTTAAGGCGGCTGACATACCCGGTGAGCCTATCGCGGGAGGCGGCAACAATTGAGGAGGTCAACGACCTCCCGAAGCCTAAGCTCCCTCAGCCCTGGTGGTGTCTCCGACACAGGTATGGTTTATTATTTAAGAACATGCATCAATTGCGGTTGATATGCGTGGGCTTCACCCACGAGTTGTTGGTGCTGATGTTCCGGATGTGCAGTCTAGGGATAACGTCGTGCGCGGTGCTCTCCTTTCTCAACCAATTCTTCTGGTACTACCCGAAGCCGCACACCATCACTGCTATCTCCTTGCAGATTGCCGTTGTGCCGCTTGGCTGCCTCATGGCGGTGGTACTGTAGGAGCATGCCTTCTTCTGCGCGCGCGCGGCCGTTAGAGTTCACCCTCAACCCGGAGCCGCTCAATGTGAAGGAGCACGTGTTCATCTCCTTCTTTGCCAACTTTGGTGCCAGCACGGTGTACGCTACCTATGTCATCACCGCCATCCTCGTCTTCTATGGCAAACACATCTCCTTCTTCGTCGTCCTATGCTCACATTCCACACACCTTTCTTGCTAGTTTCTACCATCCATGACAGATCAAAAGTGACTCTTTTTTTTTATCATCTTCGACCATGGATCATTTGATCGACTCATGATTGTTTCATGTTGTTGCTTATATCATGTAAAGCGATCGAGCTTGTGGATGATTAGGTGCTTAGGTTCAGGTGGGTGGAAATATTTTGGCGGTATATGGTGGAGCCAGCGGCGATGTGGTGGCCGTCCAACCTCGTCATCACCATTGTTGCGCCTACACTCCTCTCCGCATCGTCGTCATTGCACAAATCTTTCACTGTCACTGCAACCTGACCAAGTGGGGCCGGACAACTGACACATGAGCAAAAACATGGGAAAATGAGGTCAATACTGCCATGGGATACAAGTTACACGGTTTTGTACCAGGGATGTCAAACAAACTTGACGTAAAGTTGAGGGATGAAAAGTGAACTTATTCCTTGAATTGCCGCTAGCTCGGCCAACATAGGCTGTTGGTTTGTGCGCCATACTACCTTGTAGGCCGTAGGTGCCGCTCGTACATGGCCCAGTAAAATGCAAAGTGACTGAAATATTTTACCTACATCTCTACTAGCTTAAAAGCCAACTCATCTTCCTTCCGTCCACTTCTTCCACGACGCTCTCAACATGCACCCACACATAGCGTATGTATGTAACCACCGAATACAATGTTTTATCCTCAATCACACTTATAGTCTACCCTTACTTATATGGACCCCGTTACAACGTAGGTACATGCACTGATTAAAAGAAAGAGCGTGCATAGAAAATTTCTAACCGTATAATCACTCGGTCTAATGGTCGTAAGGATAATTCGACGATGTAATTATTCTCACCACATTATACGTCGCACCCCCTTTTAAATATAACATTTATCTAAATAAATAAATTTGTAGTGGCACGGATAAAATCATAACCCTATAATATTTTAACACCAAGACTAGCAATGCCGAATTATAAATCCGCACTGAGCAACCGTCTGCTCCTGTATCCATCCAAAAACCAAAGAGAAACCTGTAGGCTGTAGACGTTTACATCTAAAAAACTGGCGAGAACTCGCGCTTTGCCCTCCCGTGCCGTAGCCGTTCCACGCCCCGTCCGCCTCGCTCTCACCCTGCCCCGTCCGTAATCCCGTCCCGTTCCGTTCCACGCCTCCCCCCCTCTCCCCCTTCGATTCGAACTCTTTCGTCTCGCTTCCCCACACAAAACCAAACCAAACCAAACCCACGGAGAGAGAGGGAAGAAAAAGGAGAAAAAAAAAAGAAAAAATCTCACCACACCGCCGCAGCCAAATCTAGGGTTGCTTCGCTCGCCCGCCCGCCCATGGCCGACCCGACGACGCCGGCGGACGCGCAGCCGGAGCAGGCCCACGCCGCCGAGAAGCCCCCCGCGGCGCCGCTGACGCCCGAGGAGGCGGAGGCGGAGGCGGAGACGGCGGGGTCCGGGGATGACGAGGAGTACGTGAGCGACCCCGACGACGCGCTGCTCCCGGAGATGCGGCGCCGGGAGGCCAGCGACGACGAGGGGTCCGAGGAGGGGAGGGCGCGGATCGGGTCCGACCGCGGCGACGGCGACGACGGCGACGGGCAGGGCGCAGCCGAGGTGTACGAGGACGAGGCCTACGAGGACGATGACGAGGAGTACTACGATGATTTGGCGGAGGAGGAGGTCGGCGAGGGCTTCGAGGAGGAGTACGACGGCCGCGCGGAGCCGCCCAAGGAGGTCGCCGGTGCCCAGGGGGAGGATGGGGAGAAGGGCGACGTGGAGGGAGAGGCGGCGGTGGAAGGGGATGGAGAAGAGAAGAAGGAGCAGGAGCCGTTTGCGGTACCCACGTCCGGCGCCTTCTACATGCACGATGACCGCTTCCAAGAGGAGAGTCGTGGCCGCCGCAGGTGAGTTCTTCCTGAAAAACTTATGCCTTATCTGCTGTACCCATAGTTTTGGTAGAATTGCTATTGCTCAACCGTAGGCTGTGGCTGTGGCCTCGAGGAAGCCAGAGCTGCATTATACTTCAGCAAAGTAAAACGGGCATAATCAAAACGTAGTGAATCTGTGAATTGAGGCATCGATGCCAAAGGTAGGCGAGGAAGCGCAGGGGGATTTATCACATGCAATTCAGGCAAAAGCCTTTCACAAGAAAAAACTGAACTTTAAGCTTAGTATAAATTTTAAACTTTGAAAATGAACTATGTAGAAAATGAAGGATATAACTTACCAGAGCATCTGAACTCATTTATTTTGAATATGTTTGGGTCGTCGTGCTCGAAACTAAAATCAACATAGTGATCAAGCTGTAAACTGATAAAATATCAGGAAACGTGAAAAGTTTGAATGAGGTTATAATGACAAATGATAATCCACAGTAAGGGTCCAGTGAAACCACTTTTTCAGGGAGTCCTACATGAAATATGTTCCTACAATGAAATCCAGGGACTCGTGCTAGATACTTGTTTGTTGGGAGCTAATGCAGACACATTTTCCCAACCTTGGTTCTTGCTATTACTTGTTTTTGACAGTAACTCAGATTTGTGTGTGCTTAAATTTTGATGCTTAAGATGCTGTCCTGGAGGTTAGCTACATAGAATTTTGTTTGTTCCTTCAATGCTAGGGTTTTAGTAGGACAAGAGCCAATGTTTATTAAGCATGTACTCTAATGCATAAGTTTAGCTAACACCGGAGAAGAAAAGAGGAGGGGTTGGGGGATTAGATTGGGCTGATTGTGAATTGAATAAATTCATTTTTTGCCATGAGATGGCCGTTATGAATACTCCTTAGAAATGCAATATGTAGGACATATTTTAATATAATGAGAAGGCTAATCACTGCATATTTAGTAGAACCTAAATGCCTAATGATCGTTTTTGGGCATAGAATGTTGGAATTTAGCTATAAGAAGAGTAAATTGTACTCATGGTGCATGGACTGCAAATAGGTGCAATAACCTACAAAACACTCATTTCGGTGCAACAACTTGCTTAGTTGATGCGGACTCGGGTCAAACAGGCCATAGAAGCAAAATGATTCCACATGGTGCTCACCGGTGACATGTCACTGTCAGCTTGCAACACACCTGTTGCAACCCATGATGGCAGGCTAGTAATTTCTATTTTGCAGAAAACCCCATAACCTGTAAATATCCACGGGCATTCATTAGAGGGTTTGTCACCCCCTCTATTTGATTCCATGATGATGAAAAACTGTGCCACATTGTTGGGACCAACATGGGAAGAGTGAGCTGCGAGCTTACCTTTTGTTTGTATGCTAACGATTTTCAATGTGCAATCAGCAATAGAGCATGTTCATCATTCTTCTTCCACCATATGTTTTAGCTTCCTGGGTCAATTATATTTTGCATCTCCTCTGCAAATGGATGCTCTGGTTGGCAAGCGTCTGCTAAATATATAGTAGCTACAGCTAATCTATTGAGCATCGGCTCATGTTGGTTATCGTTATATTTTGACCCTGCTGCAGTCTGTCATTGGATAGTAGTGGCTGCTAAATGAGATCTTGCTCTTCAACTGTGCTGATTTTGTTTTTTACTTTCTTCTGAAAGCAGGAGAATGTTTGGTGGGAGGAAGTTATGGGACGCTAAAGATGATCAAGCGTGGGTGCATGACAGATTTGAGGAAATGAATTTGCATGAGGAGCACTATGAGGTATCTGTCCAATTCCTTTAATGTGCAAATGATAGCTTTTTCTTCAATGTTAGTATTGAGGTAGGATTTCTGCATTGCAGGATAAGCGAATGTCAAGGGGTCGCTTTAGAGGCCGTGGTGGTGGGGGTAGAACTCGGGGCACTGGTCATGGGTTTGCCAGAGGTGGAAAGTATCGCGGTTATAATGAAGATATCAACAACAACCACCAAAACCGACCCCAAAAGGTTGTTAGAGGGAGAGGACCTCGACGTTATGAAGCTGTTGCAAAGAACAACCGAGATGTTGT